CTTTTTTGTTTGTTTCTCTCCTTCCTTCCTTCGTTCCTTCCTTTGTTCCTTTCTCTTATTGAGGAGCTTCCATGCTGTCCTCCATGATACCTGTACTAATTTAATTTACATTTCCATCAACAAAAGGTTTTTCTCAATGCTTGTATGATAATGGCATAAACACCATCCTGTTACCTTCACATTTGAGCAGTAATTTAGATGGTTTTGGATCATAGATTTAAAATATTTTTTGTGAAGGCCTTGAGGGTATTGATGTATTGTTTCAGACACCAATCTGATTGCTAATTCTTTCCCAATTTCTCTCTTTACCTTGGAAGTACTGACATCTTAAAAGTGCTGTTCTGCATATGAGTCCCACTCACCCATCTTAACAATTACTAAGTGGGACTGTCTTTACAGCTCTAGGCCAATCTGGAGGATGTTGGATTTGGAAGCTGATGTCTTTCAGCTTTGTATGCGTGTCTGTTCACAGACAGAGAACACTGTCAGGTACTTACCTCTATTACCCTCCACCTTATTGTTTTGAGACAGAGCTCTTAATCAATTCTGCTAGACTGGCTGGTCAGTGAACTCCAGCCCGTTTTTGCTTCCTTCCCCAGAGCACTACGGTTCCAAATTCAGGTTCTTATGTTTCAGCAACAAGCACCTCCCCAACTTTTACTTCATAGTTCACATCTTTGTTTATGTAAATAAACGTTGTAGGAGATTCCCCAGCTTTAACTTCTCCTTCTTTAAAGCTTTTGATTTGGCAATCAGATTTTAAAATTCCCAGAATTTCTCACTTTGGGTTACTTTTTTTTCTTCCCCTTTTTAAAGATAGCTATTGTGGTGAGGCTCAATAGTTTTTTCAGATCACTCTTGTTATTTATTGAAATTTTAATGCTAATTCTGGTCTTAAGTTATGGTTTTTTCTGGGAAAAATATCCTTTTTGTCCACTTGTTAATGTGAAATTCATATTTTTTTCAAGTATGTAACAATCCTTTTGCCCTTTTCTGTTTTTGAAAGAAGGATGAAGATGGCTAATATCTTCAAACAGTGTGAAATGGTTTCCCCTAAGATGCCTCTCATAAACTTAGGGAAGGAGACACTGATTATGATGCTCAAATCAGCTTCACTTTGTGTTGCCAAGGCAGGAAGTGATTCATGAAACCAGGTTTCCTGATTACACTGGTCATTCTCTTTCTTGGAGCTTTGTTTTGTTTTTGTGGCGTCTTGAGACAGAGTCTATCTCTGTAGCCCAGGCTAGCCTTGGACTCACAATAAACAATCTTTTTACCTTAGGCTCCTGTGTTTTGGGATTATAGGTTTGAGGCAACTTGCTTGGCTTTTCTTTAAGATCTTGATTTCAGTGGGGGATTAACATTGAATATAGTGTTCTTCTAGCAGACTAGAGAGATGCTGGGTGGAAAGAACCAAATGATACTAGACTTTCAAGACTCCTCAGCTCTGCATCCTCCATGCTCTGAGGTATCTCTGGGACTCTGAAGGAAAGTCTGTGGCCTTCCGTAGTTACATCTTATTCCATGAATGTATTTGAGATGGCACTGTCTCTCCTGAGTTGGCTATCACCTCACAGTCTTTCCACCTCCCAGAAGGACACCAAAGTCTCTGGTTTGCTGATGGCTGAAACCACACAGTTTCAGCTGCTCCCACTTTATACTTCTTTATGCCATTTCAGTTGAAATGAAAGAGGGAGGCTGCTAGATGTGGGGACTCAGTCTATCACTTTGAGCCGGAACTCACATAACTTCTAAACCAGAATGTGGGGCTAAGGAGACGGGTTAACGGATGAGATTGCTTATCAGAAAAAGCATGGGGATCTGAGTTCAATCTCCTGCATCCACATAAAAATCTATGCTTGACCACACATGCATCTCTGTGGTGCTTTGAATAAGAGTAGCTCTCATAGGCACACATGTGTTACAAGTATGTTTTCCCTCCAGCGTGGTCCCACAGCTGTGCCCAATAACACACAGAGATGCTGTATTAGATATAAAGCTGTTGGTCTGTTACTAACATTTCTTATTGGCTAGCTCTGTCTTAAATATTAACCTATTTCTATCCATCTAAGTATTTTCACGTGGTCTTATCTTACCAGAGAGAGGGCCGGGAGTTCTACCCTGTTGGTCCTACATCTTGAAACTCCTCCCGACTACTTCCCAAATCCTCCTTGTCTCCTAGTCCTGCCTATCTTGCTTTCCTATTGGCCAACAGTTCTTTATTCATTAACCAATATGAAAAACATATTTACAGAATGACATCTCCCATCACATATGTTTGAGTACTTAGTCTTTAGTTGGTGGAACTGTTTGAAAAGGATTAGGAATTGTGTGACTAAGGGTGAGCTTTGAGGTTTCAAGAGACTTGTGCCACTCCAAGTCTCTTGCTCTCTCTCTGGATCAAGATGTAAACTCTCAGCTATTGCCACGCATCATTCCTACCTGCCTGCTGCCATACTCCTTACCATGGACTCACAGACCCTAACCCTTTGAAAGTGTAATCTTTAGTCATGGTGTCTTATCACAGCGATAGAAAAGTAACTAGATAATCATAGCCCCAGTGCTGTGGGGTACAGGAGACAGGTGGATTGCTGATGCTTACTGCTTACTGCTTACTGGTCACTGGATGCATCAGGCCCAGTGAGTGATCACAAAGAGAGAACACACACACACTTATCCTTTTATCTCTTTGCCAGACTCATGGTACTGCCCTATATACATTCTGTTCTTTTTAACTGATAAATTATGTTGCAAAGAACATTATCCAGGAAACAAGAGTCAATGGATGTGGGGACAGCTTGAAAGATACTGGATATTGCTTTGAGCAATATGTATGAACTTTTAGTATATGATTTTTTTTCCAAGACAAGGTTTCACTGTGTAACTCTGGCTGTCCTGGAACTCACTACGTAGACCAGGCTAACCTTAAGCTCAGAAATCCACCTGCCTCTACTTCCCAAGTGCTGGGATTAAAGACATGCACAACCATCACCCAGCTTTAGGACATAGATTTTATGAAATCTCATCTATTGGTAGCTTTGCCGGTTTAATTTTGGTGTGTAGTGTGTGTGTGTGTGTGTGTGTGTGTGTGTGTGTGTGTGTGTGTGTGTGTGTGTGTGTGTATGTGTAGGTCAAAGGTAGATATGGTGTTTTCTTCTATTGTTTTCCATGCTTTCTTTGAGAGACAGTGTCTCAGTGAACTGAACAACTCAGTGAACTTGGTGAGGCTGGCTGGCCAGCAAGTCCTAGGATCATGACCATCCTGTCTCCCCTGGTGCTGGGATTATATAGTGTGGACTTGGTTTTTACACAGTTGCTGGAGCTTAGACTCAGGTCTTTGTGTTTGTGTAGTACTTATTGACTGGCCATTTCCCAGTTCTTAGCCTGGAACATCTCCTCACTAATGTTGATCAGTCTTCAGATTATTAAAAAAAAATGCCAATTACAGTGAATGTTTAAGAAGACTTATAGATCCATTCTTTCATCACAATAATATTTTTATTTGTGTGCATATCTCTCTGCTTGCATGCTCACGTATATACAGGCATGCTCAGAGGACAGAACAAGCAGTCAGAGTCCCTTGGAGCTGGAGTGATAGGAAGTGGAAACCTGTATGATGTGGGTGCTGAAGACCTAATTCTAGTCCTTGCAAGAGCAACAAGGGCTCTTTAACTGCCAAGCTGCTTCTCCAGCCCCTAGAATGCTATTTAAATTCCAGTATCAGTACTGATCATTTGTTTGATACATGTTGTTTTACTATCTTTCTGTTCTTATCCATAGATGCCTCCTAATGAATCCTCATCAACATTCTCGGAGTGACTAATCAATCAATTTCAACCAATATGGATTTCTTAGCAACTGTACACAGTGTTTTACCCTCTTTGATTTTAACATGCACATATAATGTCAACCTCAAAAGAAATTGACAAATTAAAAAAAATGCTATATACCTTAATACAGGGAGAGAATTTATTTCATTTTGTTAATGCCCTCTTCTAGGACTTTGTTTTCAAAGCCCTAGGTCAGCTACTCAAGACCAAACACATCCTCTGTCCAGATGTGATATTTCAAAATGTTGCAAGAGAGAAACATATGCCACATGATAACACATTTGTTCAATTTCAACAGTTACAAGCCACCTGTTGGGAAAGCCAGTGCTCGTGTGACAAAGCACCAGGCCTGTCAAGTAAGGACCATGTATGACCCACAAACCCTACTCCACAGACTTAAAGTGACACAGTCTTTTATTTCCTGCTTTGGTGCATGAGCACTGAGAAGCAAATGCCAGGTCTGCTTGGGGTGGGGTGGGGACACTAGAACAATGTAGTAAGGAGTTCTCAAGACAGGCAATCTGGAAGGGTCACCTGTAGACACAGTTCCTGGCTGTTTGAAGCACGGTTATCATTGGGACACAAATGTTTTATGTCAGTGACTGGCAGGGTTAGAAGGAAACTGCCAGTGCCAGATGAAAAGATTTCTCTCTTGACAGTGTTAGTGTGGTGTGAGCTGCAGAGAGCATGAAACCAATCTATGGTGATGAGGTAAATGTTTTGAAGTGAATCAACACAGTTCCACAGTGACTCTATTATTAGTCTATCTTTTTGTTGTTTTTTGAGACAGGGTTTCTTTGTATCCCTGGCTGTCTTGGAACTTGCTTTGCAGACCAGGCTGGCCTCGAACTCAGAGATCCACTTTCTTCTACTTCCCAAGTGTTGGGATTAAAGGCGTGCACCACCATGCCAGGCTATAGTATTAGTCTAGTACATAAATTCCAGTCTGTTTTGGACACACACACACACACACATACACACACACACACACACACACACACACACACACACACACACACACACACAGTAATTATATGAATAATTGGGATTTGTCTCCATACAGTCACTCAGTAGAATTTTTTTTTTTTTTTGGTTCAGACATGATGATTAAAATGAAATAAAGAAAAATCTTCTTGGGTCATATCATGGATCCAAAAAGAAGTAGACAACAAGATAGAAAACCCAGATTCTACTTAAGTGGTGCCTTTTTTTTCTATGTCATGAAGATGTATCTTTGAGGATGAGATACACCTAGAGTTTTTAAAATGGAAGAGGTCATCACATGCCTCCATTTCTACAGGACATGGAGTTCCAGGATTTGCTTAACAGTTAACTGGTGTCTAGCGATATTATTCAACAAATGGCCATGTGTTCTCTGTCCTTGATCCCACGTGTTTCTGAGAAAGACCTTTTAGAGCTCTCATCTTCTACAAGAAGATAATTCTTAGATTGCTCAGCCACCAAAGATGAAATATCAGCAGTTTCTCCGTCAATGCATATAGAGTCTGGTGAAGAAAAACTTGTTTGAGAATCAAAGAAAGAAAGAAAAAAAAAAAAAAACCTCAAAGCTAAACTTCCCCCCTTTTCATGTTCAATGGAAGCAATTATGTGACATCTAGTTGTGTTTGGGTTTCCAGGATTCTTTTGGTCTCCTGAGATGGGGTCTCATGTAGCCGAAGTTTGGAACTCACTATGTAGTTAAGGATGAACTTTGGATGCCCCCTGCCTCCACCTCCCAAGTGTGGCAATTTAGTTTTAAGGAACAAACTTTTCTTTGGTTATATGAGGGAAGCCAATGAGGACCTGCTTAAGATAATGAACACTGGCCATTTGTTGAGTCTTTACTATAAATCAATACTACATAAACCAGAGAAGACAGATTCAGGAATGGTTCAGTTGGTCTCTGTGGGACATGCTGCACAGTGTCACAGATGAGCATCAAGCATGTCCCCTGGAGAGTGTAGGCCATTTTCACATCACCTGGAACTCAGATATGCTGATAGCTTCTCTCCTTTCTTGAAGATAATACCCTCTATAGAGATGAACTGTGTCCCTGTGAAACATCACCTGCATGAAGCTATGCATCCGTATGTCGTAGATCAGAACATGTGTTCAAGAAACCAGCCTCTTTAAGTCCCACCGTGAATAACCCAGCATCACTTTACAAGGCTGTTTGCTTATATTCTTCTGAAATTTGTCCCTGTGTTTTTGGGGTTAGGTGGGCGTTTCCAAGGAGTTCATAGGCATCTTGCTTGTTGGGGAGACTCTGCCTCATGTCCTGGGGAACCTTTTGAATCTGAATACCACCAGTGCTGTTGTTTGGACAGGCTCTCTGACCCTGATATGCCTGGGCCTGGCGTTTGCAGATGCCAAACTTGCTGAGCAGAATGAACACGTCCCTCTGGAAGGCCTTGGTGAAAATAGCATAGAGGAATGGATTGGCACAGGAGTTGAGGGGGTAGAAAAGAACTAGCAAGATCTTGGAGTTAGTAACAGTGATAAGGGGCTTGTTCATAAGTGCTGAAAGGGCATAGAAGGAGATTGGCGCCATGCACATGAAGTCGGTGAAGATCAACACAGCCATCCTCTTGGCAATCTTGGTGTCTTTATCTCGAGGGTTGTACTGGGGGTTTCTGACTGTGATGTAAATCTTCACATAGCAGGAACAGACGATGACAAAGGCAATGACATTGAGCAGAAGAACAAGGACAATGTACGCGAGAGCAAGAGGCGTGTCAGTATCCATTGGCAGGCAGATGCTGACCTTGGCATAGCTGCTTATTCCCACCATAGGGAGCAGGGCAAGGAGGAAGCAGGCAACCCAGCCACCAGCCATGATGGTGTATGCATGCCTGAGGCGGATCTTCCTATCCAGGCGCATGGCGAAGGTGATTGCGTACCATCGTTCTAGGGTGATGACTGTTAGTGTGTACACTGATAGCTCACTGGCAAAAACAGTAAAGAAACCAGCTGTGTTACACCCAGGGCCTGTCTGCCAGTCAATGGCATGGTTGTAGTACTCAGAGTGTGTGTACAGGTCTACAGAGGCAATGAGAAGCAGGTATACGCCCATGCAGAAATCTGCAAAGGCCAAGTTGCACATAAGAAAGCGTGGCACAGTCAGTTTGTAGTGGCTGGTAAGGAGAATAAATAGGACAAAGATATTGCCCAGGAGGGCCAGCAGACTGACAAACCACACCACGATTCTCAGGAACTTGTAGCCCATGATGTCTTCACAGGGGTTAAACTCATCTGACTTGGGGGTACACACCATGTCTTCATTGTCCCCACACACAGTGTAGTCATAGTGGCTGTCAAAGGCTTGCAAAGTCTCTTCCTGAGGATTTTTGAGCTCTTGGCCAAAACCGATTATCTCCTCTTCTTGTTCTTCAAAGAATACATAATAATGAGAGTTGCTGGGGCTCTCCTGGAACTTTGAGTTTTGTCTGTAGCCAACACTGTTGTCACCCAGATCTTCCTCATATTCCTGGTAGATGGGACCTCTCAGGACGTTCACTGATTTTCTTTGACGCAGATTCCGGATACTGCTCTCATTACACATCAAGGACTCTAGAATTCTGTAAGGCAACAGATATGAGTCACCTCTTGCTTAAAGTCTACCTTTAACCACCTTAGCCGCTCAGAAGATACGCAAGTTACTTTGATGTTCATGATGCTACTGATTCTGCATGATCTGGTCAGGCCTGCCTCTGCTACATCATTGAAAACATTTACTTAATTTATTATGTGTGCTGCATTCACCACAGTGCAGTATGGAGTTCAAAGTGTAATGACAGAATTAAACCTTCCTAGCCAGAAACTACTCCAAGGTCTTCAAAGATTAATGAGAACACCTTAATAAAAGCATGCATCTAGATTCCAGCTAAGCCTATGGGATCCCAGCCATGGACAGAAATCCTCTTCAGTCTGGAGGCTTGAGCTATAACATGGTAACCTTACATCTGCTTTCATCTATAGGTGGCTTTTTAAGCTCCCATCCCAAGCTGCATTTTCTGAGCAATTAAGTGGGTTTTACAGAAACAAAACGAAGCTGCAGTTTTTGGTTATCTTTAGATTATACCGAGCTGCATAGATAGAACTCTTTGTTAAACAAACCAACTTTGCTGTCTGAACAGCCAAGTTCATTTCCTCTTTGCTTTCCCCGATGAGAAGAGGGGCTTCCCATGAGCGAGTTCTAATGAAACACATCCTGTGGGAATCTGAACTCTAATTTATTTTACTAGTACAATTCTGCCTTCCCTATCTTACACCTTCCAAGTTTGGTTAGTATGCTGTTTGTCTTCGAGTTGTGTCGGAGGCAATACTTCAGGTGAATTCTACCTCTGTGTAACAATGTTTCCTAAGTGAACATTAGTAAATCTTCTATGACACTTGTTCATTATTTTTCACTTTCTTTACTTCAAAAGGACAACTTGTGGGAGTTACTTCTCACCTTCCACCATGTGGGTCCTGGGGATGGGACTCAGGCCACCAGACTTGGCAGCAAGCACCTCTCTGAGCCATCTTTCCCATCCTCTGTTACATCCATTTACGTGACCTTACTTCCCCTATTGTGACTATTGACATTGCCCTTATTTCTCATCATCCTGAGCCATTTGAAGAAGAGTCATGATCAAAATGCGTGAGCGCTGGGGCCCCTTAGAACACAGCTCCTTTAGTTACTAGCTGTGTCACGTTGGGCAGGTCTGTGAAACTTGTTCCGTTTGTGAATGGAATGAGAACATTGAGTGAACAGATGAGAATCTTTTCCAAGCTCTCACAACAGTGCTGGGTACATGGACTGTGCCATCTATGTGGTTGTGATCGCTGTTAACACGATTCCTCTTCTGAGTTCAGAACTCCACACTCCCTTTGCCTAGAAACTCATGGCCACCTCTACTCACTACTCAGTTTTAAACATCTGCTGCCTTCTTCATAGGACTCTTTCCCGATCTCTTTAAATAAACCACTCACCCTGGTGTTTCAGCCCTTCACAGCCCTGACTGACATTTCCTTCTCTCTCTGTCAACTTCCTCCAGTAGGTTCTAACTACATTCAAGAAACTTCCTTGTAATCCTGCTGTGGCTAGGACATTGCCAGGCACATAGGAGATGCTCACCAAATATTGGCTAACAAATGGATAAATGGCCAAGGCACGCAGGTATACTCATAGAAGTATGACTTACTTCTTCAATTTATTATTTTAGTTTTTTGAGATTATAGTATACTCATGTCATTTCCACTTCTGAACCCTCCCATATACCTCTCTTTCAAATTCAGGACCCTTTTTCATTAATTGTGGTTATTATTGTTATTCTGTGTGTATACATAAATACAACCTGTTTAGCCTGTATGGTGTTATTTGTATGTATTTGGTTTCAGAGCTGACCATTTGGTGTTAGATAACTCATCAGTGTGCTCATCCCTGGGAAGCCTATTTCTCCTACTCCCCGCTTCCTTATTGCCTGTTGCTTTTTGTGTAGGGTTGAGACCTATGAGTCTTCCCTGCAGCAGCAGCAGCATCAGCATCAGCATCAGCATCATCATCATCATCAGCAGCAGCAGCAGAATGTCTATTGTTGTCCTTGTTCAGTTCCCATGTAGGAGCTGTGTTGGTGAGGCTCCACGGGTGTAGCTTCTGACATTCCTAGGAGATACACTCTCCTAGCAGACCCTCTGTTCCTCTGCCTCTTACAATCTTTTCATCCCTTCTTCCTCACTGATCCCTAGGCCGTGGGTTCAGGAGTTATGATGTAGCCCAGTCAGGACTGGAAGGATTTTTCATATATAATTTTTTTTTTGAGACAAGGTTTCTCTGTGTAGCTTTGGAGCCTGTCCTGGAACTAGCTCTTGTAGACCAGGCTGGTTTCGAACTCACAGAGATCGGCCTGTCTCTGCCTCTCATAGTGCTGGGACTAAAGGCGTGCACTACAACACTCAGCATAGGTCTTACATGTTTATTACATCACTAGGGCGATATCTGCCAGCAAGGTTGCCTCTAACCATGCATTCATCCCTGAACCTTTCCACTCAGTGTCACATAGTGATAGTATAGCAACTGAAGGAAGCCAACACCCAGTGCCTATGCAGTTATTGTGGCCACAATGGTCACCTTTGCCGGGCTCTTCAGCATTCCTTTTTGCCTCTGTGACTAGGTCCTGATTTTTTTTTTCTGGTTAAAATTATGAGTGTAGAAAGCCACCGTGTCGATACTTGTGTAGAAACTAAAGGAGACAGAAATAGGTAAATGAAAGTGGAGTTAGAACAGGAGGTGGCAGAAGACACAGAAGAGAAAGTAGGTCAGAGCAAGACTCGGAGACAGCTCGGAGTGTGGTGAAGGACTTTCTCTCCTTGGCACTCTTGTAAGCAGCCAGATAGTACTGGCTGGTTTTGTGTGTCAACACAAGCTAGAGTCATCAGGGAGGAAGGAGCCTCAGTTGAAGGAATGTCTCGATGAGATCCGGCTATAAGGCATGTTCTCATTCAGTGATCATTGAGGGAGGGCCCCATCCATGGTGGGCGGTGCCACTACTGAGCAGGTGGTCCTGGGTTCCATGAGAAGGTGGGCTGAGCTGGCCATAGGAAGCAAGCTAGTAAGTAGCTGTTCTCCATGGCCTCTGCATCAAGTTCCGTCTTGGGGATCCTGCCTTGTTTGAGTTCTTGTTCTGACTTCCTTCAGTGATGAACAGCAATGCTGAAGGGTAAGCCAAAAAAACCCTTTCCTCCCCAACTTGCTTTTGTTTTTGGTCATGTTGTTTGTTACAGCAATAGAAACCGTAAGACACAGATATTGAAATAATATATGTCATAACATCATATATATAAAATTTATTTATTTTTGGTTTCCTTGTGTAACAGTCTTGGCTGTCTTGGAACTCACTCTGTAGACCAGGCTGTCCTCAAACTCATTGATATTCACCTGCCTTTGCCTCCCAGGTGGTGGGATTATAGGCATAGGCCACCACCATCTGGCTAATATTTTTTATTTGTTACATTCCAGATAGTCAATTCCAGGTGTTTTCCGGTAAGCATCTTTATCTTCTCAAAATCCCTCAATGCTTAGATGCTCAGAATAGTTGAGTAAGTAGGCTGAGATAATACAGCTCGAAGCTGATAGGGTTGGGATGCAAGCCAAACCTGCTTCAAAGTCCATGCACACAGGACAAGTTAGCTTCACAGTGAGCCCTGTTTCCATGACATCATTTCTTATTGTCTCCCCTTCCCCCTGCCATTTACGATGTGGACCTTGTTTCTCATCTGCAACTCCCTGCTTATGTGGATGCTTCTAGGTCTTTCCCTCCTGGGGTTTAAATCAATCAATCAAACATTCTTTTGCAAATCTAAAAATGAATCCAACTCTCATCATGGCCTCTCAGTGCTTACTTGGGGCTCCTGCTACTTACCCCCTGATTTTCTTCTGGTTCTTGAAGGCACAGCAGTGGCTTGGGTAAGACAGGTCAGCCCGGGTGAGGTGGAGGAAACTCAGAGATAGTGGCAGCTTCTTGAGGGTCCAAGTGTCTTTTGCTATCAGTTCTTTGAGGTGCTCCAGGCCTTTGGAGGGCAGGGCTGTGACACTAGTGGAAGACACATCTCTGAGGTCAGAGAACAAAACAACACAGGCAGTGAGCAGCCAGGGCCTTCTTGTCTTTGCTCCCTCCCATCTCCCAAATCAAACAGTCCTGAGACTAATGGGAAGATGGCAAGTTCCTTTCTGCTACTGTGTGATCTGAGTTTAATACCTACATCTACTGGTCCACAGCAGATAGGAGTTTCTAAACCAAGGTTACAGAAAACTGCTGTCTTTTCTTTTTAAGTTTTAATAAGCTACTATTGTGTGTATGTATTTTGGTTGTGTATGTTTGTGTGTGTGTATGTATTGTTTGTGTGTGTGTGTGTGTGTGTGTGTGTGTGTGTGTGTGTGTACGCGTGTACATACCACAGTACACACATACTGTGGTATGCATATGGAAGCCAGAGGGCAGATTTGTGGCATTCTCTCTCCTTTCATCTTTGCACGGGTTCTGGGGATTGAACTCAGGTCTTCAGGCTTACATGGCAATTTTTACCTGGTGAGCCATCTTACCAGTCTAGAACTACTATTTTTATTGCATTTTATTTTATTGCATTTAATCAACACAAATCCATAAAGACTTTATTCTCTTGGTGAATTCTTGGAATCAGAGAGGGCTATGAACACTATTTTGTAAAATGACATCTTACAACTATTAAAAGATCTCCAGAAAAAAAAAATCAGACAAGGTCAATGGCACCTAAGCTATTATCACTTTCTGGGGGGGGGGTGGGTGCTCAGGTCTGGAGACACATAAACTACTCTTTTGTTGGGATTAGCGTCAATATTATGGAAATACTCTCCATTAAATGCAGAATTTAAGGACTCAATAGTTACATAGTAACTGAGAACCTTCCCCAACACAGTTCCTTTTTTTTTTTTAGAAGACTGTGGATATATTCCTAGTTAAAAAAAAAACTAATGATTTTTTAATAATCTAAAATATTACTTCTGCAAACTGTGGGAGATGTGGTAGGGCTAGGAGTTGTATATTAATGTTATTAAAGTAGAATGGTTTTTGGCTTTTAAGTAGCAATTCTCTCTCCTCTAGTCCCAAAGACTTGATGTCTTGTTGATACTTTTTCTTGCATTAAAAACTAGCTTGAATAAGGCCATGTACATTTAACCTGCCATCTCTCTTCTTCTTATTTCATTAAAGTAGTCACTACACATTCCCTATCCAAGGCTTTTATATTTATATTTAACACATTTAATATAAGCTGGGTATGGTGGTATATGCCTTTAACCATAGCACAGGGAGGCAGAAGTATGTGGATCTCTAAGAGTTCTAGGCCAGCCTGGTGTACATGCCGGGTTTCAGACCATCCAAGAATACATAGTGAGGCCTGGCCTCAAAAGAAAAAAAATCTGTCTATCTATATCTATCTGGCATGGTGGCATATGTCTGTAATTTCAGCACTTGGAATGTGGAGGCTGGTGAATCAGGAGTTCAAGGCCATCATCCTTGGCTACACAGTGAGTTCAAACTAGCCTGGACTACAAGAGAAACCCTGTCCACATACCTAGGTGGTAACCAATCACTCTCTATTAAAACTTAAGTCTGACTTAGCAAGAGTGCCTGCTACTGGAAACCTAGCCTACTAGCAGGGCTAGCGAAGTCATGGGCCTTAGAGGAGAACCTACAGCTGCCACTTTACTAAGCCAGCATATCCCTAACTACATTCTGAATATTTGTCTTATACCCACAGGTGAGTGTAGTCCTCACCCCTCATGAAGGAACCCTCTCTTTGCAACAGATGGAGACCAGCGCAGAAAACACAAGCAACCCAAGTGCAGAGTTGGGGAGCCCAGTCCCAATGTACACATCTATAGAACAATTCCTAAACCCAAGACTCAAGGATCACTGCAGAAATGGGGGCAGAAGGATTATAAATGGGAGGAACACGGAGTTTGTATCTCCTGGGACTGTCAGAAGGCACAGCCATAAAGTCTCACCAACATGACTTTCTAGACAGCTGAACAAGGATAAACACAATAGACAGGCCAACATGGATAGCCCAAAAGTCCTCCACCCTACACAAAGAACTGCAGGCAACCAGGGAATGCCGAAAGTGGAAGACATAGTCTTCCCCAGGGAAGGGCACATGAGCTAGTTATCTCATCCCGAACGGCCAGCCATAAAAACGTGCATATGAGAAACATTATCGACTGAGCAGGTTACATTTAATGTATTTAGAAATATGTAGGTATATGCATGTGCATATATGCATTTAACAATACTTAATGAAAACTACAGGCCATGAATTTGAAAGAGCAAGAAAGGGCATGTGGGGGGAATGTTGCAGGGAGGAAAGGGGAGGGGAGGATGATGTAGCTATATTATAATCTCAGAAACTAAAAAAATTAAAAACCAAAACCAAAAAACAATTAGTAGCATCTACTTAGCAAGTGAAATGCACTGTTGCCAACTTCTTCCATTACAACCGGGTTTAACTGAGATTATGTTATCAAGGTTCCAGGCTACCAGAACTTGATATTTTTTTTTTTGTTGTTGTTGTTTTGTTTTGTTTAAAAAAAACAAATATAAAGCTCATATATTATCTTTGTTGTTACCAAAGAACTATTATTCTTGTGGGAAGTGTCATATTCATTAGTTTGGTTTGTTTTTTGTTTAAAATTCTATGGTCCTGTGTTTTCCAACCTTGCCTAGTAACAAGAATGAACTCTGGCACTTGTCACCGAATGTTCTCCAGGTGATTAACACTAGAGAAAGAAGTGTGGGAAACTGGCACAAATAACCCTGCAGCTGGGGAAAGCAGAGGGAGGAGAAAGCGCCCTTAGCACAGCTGTGAAGTGTGGCCTCCCCTGTCCTTTGGATGCCCCTCACTCACCCCTCCCTCTTCTTAGAAAGGCCATATACAGAGAGATCTTCAGCATGCTTGCATGTTCCATTTTATCTTAGATTAGTGCTTTGCCTGGTTATAGTATTTGGTCTTGCAAGCTTTTATTAAAAATCATTCTTTCAAAATTATTTGTCTTATTATAATCTAATACCTATTGTTGATTTTCATAAACAGGATGCCACCCAAGTTCCTATTATTTGGACTAGCTTTAAATCTCTCTGTGTGTCTGTCTCTGACTCCTACCTCTGTCTTTCTCTCTCTGTGTCTCTTTGTCTCTGCTTGGTCTCCCCCCCCCCCCCCACACTCTGTGTGTGTGTGTGTGTGTGTGTGTGTGTGTGTGTGTGTATACCTGCCCATATGTACATTTGGGTGATTAAAGTCAAGCTTATACACTCTACAATTGACATTCTAACTCCCCTGGAAGTCCTTAGAACCTTCTCTTTATCCCCAGTGTGAGATTCCATTGATCTGTGCCATGCTGTGGATCTTTTTTTTTTTCCTCCTGGGTACAGGGGCTTGGCTCTTTCTCAGTCTGGACTATTAGAAAATGTTCATCGCTGGGAACTTTTCTTATATCATTCTTGGGGTAACTCACTTTTTCTATTTTCTTCCTTGCTTCCTTGCATCTTCATCTCGTGTGTGTGTGTGTGTGTGTGTGTATGTGTGTGTGTGTGTAATTCTCTTCTATTGCTCTTAAATTTCCTGGTAGAATTCCTTCACTGTATTGCCCATCTCTTGTACTGAATTTTTAACTTCAGCTTCATGAGAGCTGGTACTCTTGTCCTGTCTAGAGCAGTATTTTTGATATTTAGACTGAAGGTTCTTGATATGGTTTGTCAAGCACAAGAGAACATTTTTGAGCCTTTCTTGTTCTTTTGATCTTTTGGTAACAGGATAAACTGGGAAACCCAGCTCAATATTCATGAATGTGGATATAACCACACTGGATTTTAGCAGGGCAAACAAACAAATATAGAGGATGAGTTTGAAATTCAGGTCAGAATCCTAGCTCCTTCATTCACTAATGTTCACTTAGCAGCAGCTGCCAGTGTGTCCTCAATAGATACTAGCTGTCATTACTGTTATAGTTGTTGGGATGAAATGTCTTATCAGGATTATCAGGTCTTTAATTGCTTTGGGGAAAGTTCCTTGCTGTTCTCTGCAATGTCTGATTCTTTAGGCTCACATTCCCATTGTTTACCCAGGTTTTGATCTCTCATGTTAGAAGTATTTTTTGCCTAGTAACCCTTGGTTACTTATAAAGACTTAAGAGTGAAAGTTGCCATTGGCTGATTTTGTTTCAGGGCAGTTGTAAAGAAAGGTGACCATTTTATCACTGAACACTAAACTGTCAGATTACATTCCAACAGGGAGGGAAAGGGGCTCATGAGCTCCTACCCCAGCTGATGACCCACTGATACTTGGTGGCTTTTGGGTGAGGGAGGATCACTTCTCTTGCAGGGTTTGGCCTCTGGTAGATCTCCACGCTCCAACAAATGGCCCACATGCATGAATATTTTGGCAGCACAAATTGGACTCACTGGATTATTTAAAAAAAACAAAAGGGCTGGAAGTTGGGAGGGAGGCAAGGAGTAGGGAGTGTTTGTGGGAAGAGTTAGGGGGAAAAAGGGGGGGAGGAATATATTCAAAATATATTATATGTGCATAGTTAGTTCCCAAAGAATTAGTAGAAGTGTTGTATTTATAAAGTGTCAGGCTATGGTGTCTTTTTTGTTTCTGTGTTTTCTAACTTCTCCACAAAGGAGACTTGAAATCTAAAATCCTGGAATCCTAATAGGAGATATTATGGTGCTAGCATTTTACATGAATGGGTTAGGAAAGTATGATGGTCAATATTGACTGTTAATAAGACAGAATCTAAAATCACCCAGGAGATGAGCCTCTGGGTATGTATGCCTGTGAGGGATTATTGAGTGTGGATTAAATGAAGTGAGAAATCCTATCCTAAAGGTGAGAAAACCTACCATTCTGTGCGAGGGGATCCTGGACTAAATAAAGCAACAAGCTAGCTGAGCACACATAGTCATCTCTGTCTGCTTCCTGACTACAGATGCAGTGTGACCAGCATGCCGCCAGGCCTTCCTCGTCATGATGTACCCTTGAACCATGAGCCTATACAATAAACCCTTTCTCCCTG